TACTGATCACTGCCTCTGCATCTAAATCCTTTTGAAACCAGGATGACCTGCTGAAGAGGATTTTGAGTGGAAGGCCCTTCACAAGACTCTTTCAAATCCACATAAATAAAGCCCTTTACTGGCTTAAAATGGCCCCTCAGATTTAGCACTACAGAGCCCCTAAAAAGCACAACACGATTGTCATGGATATTACATGATGGTAACAACAACAGGCCAAGAAGACAAGTCTCCATGCTGAACAAAACTAGGCCAGACTTTTTCATGATTTGGGATACAGATTGCTGACAGCCCTGTAAATAGGCTGTTTAACCCTTTGAAAGTGAATAAAGAGTGGGGAGACAAATGCTTTCTGATAGACTTTGTGTATGTAATGGGTAAAAAAGTATACTGTAGCGTTCTGGGATTTCTGGTGCAAGATTAATACTGAAATATCTGAGTGTAATTACTGCAGACCTTTTGCTCCTGCAAAATCTACCGAGCTCAGTAACCAATTGCAGGTGAATATCTTCTTGCACAAAGAAGCTGGAGGGAGGGCTTTTACATTTTCATGTTTAGGTGCAACGTATGTTTCTCTTTCTCTCTCTTTGTGATAATTTCGTGCTTCTGAAAAAAATAGAAATGGTGGGCATGTGTAACTAGCTAATGACATCTCTTCTACCATAAAAATATAGCAAACTGAAGGACATCTCGTTTATCTCTGTTCCTAATTTATTAATACATTTTTAAGCACTCTTTCTCCCCAGGAAAACCACTTGATAAAAAACAAATTTTAAGAATCAGTATATTACCCAAGTGCTAAGATGGCAAAACTGCTGACAAAACCATCTCCTAGAAATTAAGAATTATGTATATTGCCTTCAATTTTACAAAGCTGTTTGTGTTACTACTTGAATGGCTCCCTTGTTACACACAATTTCTGAGGCTTGGCAGCCACATGATTTTCATAAATCCAGGTACTACTGTTTCTAACCTCTGACCATGTTTTAACTGTGCAGGGCCGTTTTAATTCATTTAACTCATTTTAATTGTCTTTCAGGGGAAGAGCGCTTTCTTTGGCCAGCTTAACCGGCAGGAAAAGCTGCCTGCTTGAGTACTTGCTGCCATTCAAAGAGACTTCTCATGAAAATGCATGCTTGTCCTCACAACTCCTTCAGTAACTGTAATATTTCTCCCTTACTGTTTATGTCAGAGAGTCATTACTGGAAGCTGCTGACATTTCTGACATTCAGTAGCATCAGAGCACATTAGGTGGTCCTTAGATAATTTTTAGACAAAATTTACTTGTATCACATGCTCAGGCCACTACAAGCAACAGAAGTAAAACACTTTTGTGCAAAGATAAATCAGTCAGTGCACTCATTTTTTGTGGACCTTCCTATATTATTCTATAGCTGAACAATTTTAACCAGGTGGTGCATAATGCATAATCCACTGTCTACCCAGACTGTTCATGCTTTGGCTTTGGCTTTTGTGGAAGATCAATCTCTATTAGGAAATCTATTATCATCACTTATGTTTTACTACAATGAAATAAATAGGCAGCTGCAGTTGTTTGGCCTAATAGCTCTTAGTTTGATTGCTAGAAGTAGGAAATCAATGCAGGGTGAAAGGAAGAAACATTTTTAATAACTTACACTCCAGATATGAGATCCCCAAGTTATTACAAATTATAAGGTTAAGACCTCTTGAAAGAATCCTAGCTAGTTAAATATTTAAAACTCCTGGGTGAGAACACATGCACTAATGAGCTGCAGGCTACTAAATACCAGAATCTAGGGGGAGACATCTTGTTTTATATTAGAAAGTATTAGTGAGTATAAACTGGCCATGAGAAGTATTTAATTAGGAATTATATTGATATGGGGAAAGCAGAGAGAGAAACAGTTTACTAAATCTACTATTCGTCACTGTTAAAAGCTGGATTTGCCTGTGGAGGAAAAGAAACAAATGAAATCAGCCCTGTATCAAACCAAGGGAGACATGGTATGGTTCCCTGACCCTCCCAGCAGCCCTATCCATAGCCTTGGGGGAGTTGCTGGATACCTCAGACTGAATGTGGATGGAGCTTCCTACTGATATTTTCTTTTATCCATCAGGTAGCAAGTTGCCTTAGACTTTTGATCAATTCTGCTAATATATTAATAGTTGTTGGGTGAAAACTATGATGCAAATTCCAGGCTGATATACATTTTGAAATTCTGCCACCCCAAACAAGAAGAGGAAGAACTTTACAAATCTTTGAATATCTTCCCTGATGATCTTTTAATTCATAATTTTAAGAGCGTAAGAAACTGTTAATTGTACCTGGCCATGTTAAGTTTTCTATCTTAAGATGAATTGAAATGTTGCAATTCAAATGGTAAGAAGTGAAGAAGGGAGTCAAGATTGACAGTAAAAACTGGCTTGACATGATTAAGCACCAAATAATATTAAGTCTTGTCACACAAATATTGTGGGAGAAGGCTTGCTGCATTGTGTGCGCACATATGTATTTTATGTAAAATAGCCTCAGTCTGTCTCCTCTCTGAAACGGGGAGTGTGAGTGGGTAAACAGCTCATAGCAACAGATGAAAGGCTGACGAAGTTCAGACTCCCAGTTCAAAGGTTTCAGCAGCATGTGAAATGACAATCTCAGGTTATTTGTGTTTCCGAGCTCCTGTGTATTTGAATTGTTTGCTCACCTATGGAGGCTCTCTCCATTATCCTATTCCTGGTTGTGTTCATCAGCTGAGCGAGATGTCTGGCTGCAGACATATTTCACAAGAAAACTTAGTCAAATTTATTTCACCTGCCTCATGACACCCTTGCCTCTGCCCCCTGGAAGATCAGAAATAGTTTGTTTTAATTGAGGAGGATAAATTACAGCAACGCAAAGCTAGCTTCCTGCTCGCTCCATGCGCGTCTCCGGCTGCTTGGTCAGCACAGGTCCACCGTTCCATTTTTAAATCAAATTATGCTTGTGATAATATTGTCTTGAGCTTACAGTTGCTGACATGGATATTGACAAAGGCTTAGCCAGTATTTTAATAAGAAAACAAAATACAGGAAATACTCTAGAGTTTCCAGGTGGATCATTAGCAAGACGCCTTGGAGGGCTGAGACTGCCAGCCAGCACAGGGAATGCATCACAGTTCGTCATACAACTTAAACTTCTTTTGACATCTAGTTATGTCGAAATGTGACTGATCACCTAGGGGTCCAGGCTCCTGTGAGGGAAAAGTTCACTGACAGACAGCGAACGAAGCTGATCTTAAATGAGAATCAAGAGAAAGCAGCATTCCAGCGTCTGACAGTCTGCAGCTGCTACCTGGGTCTGCCTAACGAAGACGAGCCTGCTCTGCTGAACAGTTATATTAGCATCTGTATGCTTCTGTCTCATTATCACACATCTGCCCACCTTTATTCGAATGAAGCTTCTTCTGATCTGACAGCTCAGGCATTGTCAGTGAATAGATATTATGGGAGCCGGGTACAGCAGCTTAGGGTGTTAGCTTTTATTTTCTAAAGACTGTTGTACAGTTTGACAGTATAATGCCACAGAGGTAAAGAAGATAATTAACATATTGGGCAGTTTCTAAACAAAGCTGAGACAGTTATACTGGCAAAAGTGCTACTGCTGGAGCAGTATTGTTTGCACTCTAGAAACATCAAAGGTTTGCAAGATCTGCCTTTATAAAAAAGAGAACAGGTACAGCTTGGTCCCCACACCACAAACAGGAAGATTTGGGGGGTTCAGCCCACACCTACTAGCTGCAAAACCTTTGGTGTGCTTGAGGAGCCTGCAGTGTTCATTCAAATCTCTGCTCGCTCAGGCAAAATATCTCCCAGAATTTGAGAAGACATGAAAAAGTCTGTGTGGAGAGGAGGTTTGTGGATCTTTTCACTTTCTTTAATTTATTTTTACCCCACAGCACAAAGCTAAGTGCTCATGTGAGCTTCACAGAGCTCATATTTGGATGGAGATTTAAGCCTTCTAAGTTAGAGATCACATGTGGGATTTTCTGGAAATGCCAAAAAAACGCATGACAGAGGTTTCATCATTTGCTCTGTAATAAACTAGAAAGGTTTACTTAAAAAAAACCAAACAAAGAGAGGGGGAAATACTATTTTGAACCCACAATGTAGATGGACTGAGCTGTGATGACTGAGGAAGGGGATGTTCATATTCTCTTCTTCAGATCTGAGAAAAGAAATGTAGTACTGCAGTGGATTACTACACAGCTTGTCTTCAGTTTTCACCAGGTCCTACAGTCTGTACAAAATATTGGACAGTGTTGGAATCAAATGGCAACTTAACTTCGTAAATATTTTGGACATGAAGTACTTAAGAAAAATATAGCCTTTTAAAGTTTGCATTCTTTATGTTTTCAAGAAAAACAGTGAATAGGATGCACTGCACCAAGAACATTCCTGAAATCGTTACCCCTTTGAGCCTCGATTTATGTTTTAAATGGCATAAATAATAACCTAGAGCCCCCTACCCACAAGCAATGTTGTGGCCAAAGACCAGATCTGCAGCTGGTTTGGATGAGTTGCTCATTTACAGCCAAAATACTCTGCAATATGCAGATTTCCCCTGCTCAGAATTTAGCCCTAAATTTCTAAGAAGTTATGGACTTTCCTCATTTCATTCATGGCTTTCAGTTGACTGCTTTTTCTTTGTTCTTGAGAGCACAGGGTTACATAAGTTAATGTTGAAATTACTCCTATTTTGCAACAACGCAATCAAAGTCATTTCAGCATCTGCACTGATAAAGTGAGAACAGCTCATCCGGATTGGCCTCCAGGACCCGCGCTCACCATTGCAAAGCTGGAATACAGAATTAGATTCATTTTAAAAAGAAAAAAAAAAAATAAAGGAAGAAAAAGATAGAATCCGTTGTCATTCACTCTGAAAAGGCATTACAGACTGCCGACACTGTACAGAAAAATAGGAGATGTTGACCTTTTTATTATAGACTTTTCTGTGCTGTTGCCCTCCTTTCGAGGTGCACCCCCGCCGCCGCGCACCCCCGCGTGCACCCGCGCACACACGCGCCCGCTCTTCAGCTCTGTGTTATCTCAAATAATTACCCTGCGCTTCTGGCTGTCCCCAGTGACTTCTGCTGCTAAAAAAGCTACTCATTGTCGGTGAGTGAAGAGGGATTTCAAACCTGCTTCTTGTGGCCCAGCAACAGCTCTTAATTAACCACTCAGGTATTGAGCCGCCTCCTCGCCCGGCTCCCATCCATATGGCAGGAACATGTCCACAGTGATAATCACTGAAGGAAATATTGTATCAAAAAAAGGCCTCGCAGAACAGAAAGCTCCTGCAAATTATTTTTAATGATTCTCCTCTTGTGAGATGGATTATTTGTTATTTCCAGCAGGGCCAGGAAAGGGGGCTTTAGGGGTACATGCCTGTCCTCCAGTCGCTCTCCCCTGCAGCTGGGCAGAGCCCCAGCCCCAGCCCTGCCACTGAGTGTGCACCCGGGCTACCAGAGGAGGCCCTTCAGGCAGCCTAAAGAGCTTTAGTTCCCTATGATTTTGATAATCCTTTGTTTCTAGTGTGACTTGCTTTTCTACACATTGGATGTGCATGTTTCCTGTGAGCAAGGGACTTGAAAAAACTTGCAGCCTTGACACAGACCCACACTTTTTCCTTCCCCCTTGGTTTATGGTAAAGAAAACAGTGATTTGAGTTTATAAATCTAATTAAAAATGAAGCTGCATTTACATTTTAAAACCTTGCATATACCAGCATACTGTGTCAAAAGATATTATGTATGATTTTACTTTGTGACAGAAACCATTACATTTAAAAATTCATTACAGCAAGGTTAGTTAGACACATGATGGATGCAGCTTTAATCCTGCCATATATTATTACAGTTAAAATGTAAATGATGAAAAATATTTTGTGCTTATCAGCATTTATGTGGAAATGTGTTTTACAGTGATATATGGTGTTATATTTCTATTATTATGATGAGAAAGAATGAAATACAAAAAGACTAAGTGTTTATTAAAACATGGTTACTTGTGATAAAATATTCTTGTTGTACACGACTTTAAACATATTTACCAAGGGCATTTGTCCAAAACAACTGTGAAATGTGTTTGCTATGCAAATCATTCTTTGTAATTTTTTTCCCCTCTGTTATACCAACCATAGCTTTTTAATAGCCTAATGTTGAAGCCATGTAAATATATTTTTATTATTTCTCACTTCAGACACGGCAGGAACAGGAACTGGCTCTGTTTGCACACATGCGTGTATTCAAATAGATGGAAGCATACATGAAAAGATAGACAGTTGATCCTAGCAAAAATCCTTTTCACTTTCTATGTCCTCTCATTTCAGCCTCTCAAAGCCAACCTTGATCACAGGGAGCTGAGCTCTTCACAGGCACAGCCTTTGGCACATGCTGGTCTGTGAGCATACACGTGGTCCTGTTGACGGCAGAGTGGTTTAACACCTCACGCAACTGAACCTTTAACTCAGGTTTGTTTTACACCCTTCTCCCTCACATATGGGCAGTGCATCATTGCATGGGAGATTCATCCCCTGGCCAGGGAACTGAATTTTTCTTTTTTCCCCAAGGAACGTGAGTTCTCAATTGAGCTTGTGCTTTAGAAGAGCCCTGACAAGTAAATCTGTGCGGTGTTGTCCTAATTTGAAGAGTAATGAGTTTTGAGGTCAGTATTGCATGCTGCAAATTCCTAGGTTAAGTAAGTTTTTAAAGAAATTTTACTCCAGCAGTGACCCTTCTAGAAAGGTTTCTGGCAATAAGGGCCTTGTCTCCACAGGCAAAATCCAGTATAATCTTGAGCAGAACAATACAAAGGCGTAAAAGCCATTAAGTGACTTGCCCAGCATCCCACAGGAAGTCTGTGACAGAAAAGAAAATAAAAACCTGAAGGTCCCGAAACTTAGGAATTTAAGCATTCTGTCTGTGCATTCCCATGTGTGCTCTGTCCACTGGGTTTTCAGTGTGTTTTGGGTTTGCTCTCTCGGTCCTTCCACTGACCCTGGCTGACTGCTGCATTATGCCAAGTATTAAGTAACCTGGTGATCCAGAAGCTATTGCCTTACACCCCTCATTCCCCCAGCTTGGTGTTGCTTCCTCCGTGTTCCCACTACTTATTTTCTGGTTGTATCTACTACAAGTTCATGCTGTTTGTTTTGTTACTTTCTATGCAGCTTATAATTAAAAAAACAGTGGAGTCGATAAACAAGTTAATTGTATGGTTTCCATATTATTCCTATAATTCCTGCAGTTTACATTGCTGTCTCTTAAAAAAAAAATTATTTCAGTTTGGCATGATGCAGTAATCAGACTGAGATTACTTCTAGTTATGTGAAGCTGAGCCCATCTTTAGCAAGTCAAATGCGCTTCTGTAAAAACTAAATCAAAATGTTTGTGATCAAGAGCATATATGCCCTTCAGTCCTTAATGCCTTTCTTTTGATATGAACAGAAGCAGGAGACCTGGTACTTGTAGTTCACTAAAGTGGCTATTTCCTTATAACCTCCCTCTTGTAACAATGTTTATTCAGTTATCAGGGAAGAAATATCATTTGTCCGTGCAGCTACAATTACCCAATTTGTTGTATAAATTATTACATTTTTTTCTCATCTCGTGTTGATGACAGAATCATTTAATAGACTTTCAGTTGCTCAAGCTTGAAAATTGGTTCCACATTCTCCCTTTTTTTAGTTTTCCTCCCTAGGGTGAGTGCAACGCAGTCTAAATACAATTTCCATCCTCCCCCCCTCCATTTTTTTTTAAACATCTGCTTGTATGAGGATGTTGTTGTGTACATTAGTGCTGTACAGTTTAGCACCCTTTAGGACTACCTTCAGCTCTCAGCTTCCTCATTCCCGGGGCCAATCATAATATATCAGGAACTGTAGATATTTCCTATCTCAGCACTCTCCATAACTCTTCTGCTCAGCTGTCTGAAGCTGTTTTCTTTAGGAAGTCCAAAGCAAGGGGGGCTGGTTGACCTGGCATCAGTCCTATTTATAAGAATAAAACCTCTTCCCTGTACACCTTTGGAGCTTTGTCATGTAGGGGTCACTTCCGTTTAAATTAATAGCCATCGCGCCCGTGGCGGAACATGGCCACCTAACCTTTGCTGTCCCCTCTACCCTTTTGTTTGAAGTTATCCAACCTACTCAGATAATTTTCTTCAAAGCTAAGGTTACAGGATTTGCAACTGTGTCTTTGCCACATAATTCATTAGGAAGGGGAAAACCAGCTATTGTCTGTCACATGTACTGGACTTTTTTTTTTTTTTTTTGGTGATATGTTTATTTGTTTATTTTAAATAAGCGTTTGCTTTTAAATTTTTCCTCCCCTGCTGTTGCTGCTGAAATAAATGCCAATCAGGCTTGTTTGCTTAGTATAGGAGTTACTGTGTGGTTGGAGGAAGAAATGATGTATGGAGCAGCCATCTCACTCCCAGCCTTCGATCTAAGAGCTTTTCTTAGAAGTAATGTTTCTGTGGCACTGGAGATGTCACAGAGTTACCATCTGCCCACTCATGAGTCAACTGATTGCCTATGAAATCTATTTGTTTTAGTTTTTAGCCTAAGAATATTTGCTGAAAGGAGGATTATCACTTTGTAGACCACCAACAGCTGTTGAAAAGCAGGGCATAAAACTTTGTTTATGTCTTTAATAACCCACTTAATGACGGAGCAAGCACATTATTCATAATAAAATAGGCTGGCATGATCTTACTCCAGTGCATGGTGTCAGGGAATTAAGAAACATCTGCTATGCCATAAAATAACATTGTATATACTATGTACATTAAAAACACATGTATACGCATATGTATATTATATACATTATTTAAAATGTCTCAGTGGAACTCTCTTTTTAATTACTTTTAGCAAACACTGAAGTGGTTAAATGAGGGTATTTTTACTTCTGAATTTGAATTTTATATAATGTTTGAGTCTGTGGCTAGATATAATGGCAAGGGACAGGATACTTTATCAGAGTACATTAAAGACGTAAAGGCAAAGTTTCGAGTCTTGAAATTGGGGTTCAAAATCTATTTTTAGCCTCCAAATAAGTGACCTAATTTTCTGAACCACAAAGCATTTGTGGGTTCTTAACTTGATGAGGGTGTTGGTTGCTCAGCAACTCTGAAAAACCAGGCCAGTATTTCAGTGCCTAAATGCAGATTTTTATTTACAACGAAGGCATCTGAATTTGCAGCTTTTATCCGTACTAGTTACAGGCATTACGCCTGCACTCAGAATGGAAACCTCCCTGTGCTGCTGCTGCACGTGCAAGGGGAGTCACTGCCTTTGCTTCAGAGAACCTGGAGTCAGAGGGACCAACTATTCCTTACCCTCGCTCTGCAGCTGGGATGCTGGAGGCAGAGGGGGAATGCTTCTCCCTGGAAGTGGCTGAGCATGGTGGCTCCCAACCAGCAAAGCATGTAAACATGTCTTTAAATTTAAGCGCGTGAGATGTAAGTGGGACTACTTGCATCTTAAAATTAAATACATGTTTCACTAGATCAGGCCAGATGGTTTTACATGCTCAAAAGTGACATTTACAAGGTCACATAGGAAATGTTTGACAGAGCCAGGAACTGAAACCAGATCTCCTGAGTGCCAACCTTATGCCTTAGTTTTGCACCCATCTTTTTTTTTTTTTTTTTTGATGGCATTTTTCTCTCAGTGCAAACAAAAATGGAAAAAAATGATCCAGTAAGTAGACAAGGAAGTTGTAGGGTCTTGCATGTCTGTCTGTTTTTGGTTTTGTTTGTTGTTTGGGTTTTTTTTTCAAGTGCTACTGTTTCAGAGATTAGCACTTTCAGCTTTTCAGAAAAACACGTATTTTTATCGGCTTTACAAATTTTTTTCTCCTATCTTTCAGATACGTAAGCAATCTGTTTTCACTTTGTAGGTGGCCCACCAAATAAAAAAAGTTATAAGTTAATAAAATTTCTATGCAGATTTATATGAACTGAATGAACTCCCCCAGAATCTGAACGTTAATCTGTTGGAAAATAGCTGCCGTGGTACTGGAATAACTCAACGTCACACAGCAGGGCACACTAACAGTAGTTCTCTCATTGACATTTTCCCCACAAGTGCCAAAATAAACACGGGAAACTACTATGGGGGAAAAGCCCAATGAACTACTGGAATGGCAACTGTGATATATTGAAAGCGGTTTCCTCAGATTCACCTAAATCTCAGCTTTCACTAATGTGTATATTTTTCTTGGGAGCCCTATCCCTGTGAATTATCTCAAATGCATCTCTTTGGTTTAGTCTGTCTTTGCAAGCTCTGTTCTTGGCAAACACCTACACTCTTTGCAATCTCCCATTCTGCCTCAGGTTTGATGTCTTTAGCCTTTCTGTCCTTCTCTAACTCAAATCCAGACCTCAGCACCATGAGAAAGTACTCTAGATGAAATACTTTATTTCTTATTAACATTTAGTGACCATGATCTTACCCTGTGTATGACAAGGAAGGAAGCAACATTCTCACTTTCTCATAGGACCCTCCTACTACACCAGGAAACTGCAAAAAGGTAAAATATGAGCATGGGGGTGTAGGTTTTATGTAGTGACCTCTTGTTTTGGCTGGCTGGGCTCTGTTGTGTTTAATGGACTTCTATTCATAAAATTTGCATATCTGTGACCAGTTTGCAAAAACTCTTAAAAATTAGTATAATTTAAGTAAGATTCCTATAAATGAACTCACCCAGTAACCTCTGGGGTCTGAGAATCAGGGTACATTTATTTTTCTTGAGAGTATTTAGAACATCATCATTTCAAGCTGAGCAGTTCCACCAGACCAGAACAGGGGCCTGTGGCCAAGGCACTGCAGCTACTGAGCTGGAAAGGGAGGACAGGGTCTGCAAGGGCTAGAGATGTAGTCTTGATGTAGAACTATTTCTTTTCTATTTTATATCAAACTGAGAGAAATTAAAACTTAGAATCTTCCAAAGAAAATGTCCTCTAACTTGTTGGCCTGGTTTCTCCTTCAGCAAACACCAACTTGTCTCGTTATGAGCATTAAGGATCCCTGTGGAAGGATCTCATGCTAAAAAGCATAATGCAGCTCCCTTTCAAGGTGTGCTTAACATCAGCTTCTCACTCAGGACAGGCACATGTCTGTACTTGTCAGAAGACCAGGCACAGAAGCTGTTAATAAGGTATGTACACGTATTTTTCTGGTTTATTTCATTGGGGTTTTTTAACTGAACCTGAGCTATACTGTACATGGGAACAGCTGTACAGTGACCAGAGCAAATGTTCTGTCTAGGGAAGGTATTGCTCCTTCTCCACTAGCAGCAGACACTTAAGAAAGAGACCAGAAAAGGGTGTCTAGATACTGCTGCTTCCATAGCAAACCTTCCTAGCTTTCTCTGTGCAGCAGTTCCAATTACCTGAGCCAGAACTGGTATCCTGGTTGCTTTTTGTAGTCCCTGACAGATTTTCCCACACCTCCCCATTCATTACTTTGGATAATCAGTTTTTAAGGGCATGCACACTTTTGATATCTACAACGTCCAGGGGCATTGAATTCCACAGTTTCACTGTGCATTACATGCACCGAGTTCTTGAGTTCTTGTCCCAAATAATTATTTCCCTGGCACTCTTGATCTTATAAACCTTTGTAGTGCCACTTTTCATCCACCTGCACACTCTCCAGGCTGTGGAATCATCCTGTATGTAGGTGTTCCTCAGCAGCAGTCCCATATCTTTAAAATGGTTCAAATTTCTCCTGGTAACTTAACAAATAACGTTTACTTCTGGGATAAAATGGGCACACACTACTACCCTCAGTGATACACAATACAAGCTTCAGAAATACCAGTAAAGGTGGAAATATAAAAAGCAGATTAACCTCCAATGTCCTTCAAATGGCAAGGAATACAGAGCTGAGACAAAGGCAGTGGTTTCTCCCTGGATTCCCCATATAGAGGAATCGCCAGAATAGGAGATTCTCCTGCAGGCTGTAGGAGCATTGCCTTCCCATGTATTCCCCTGTGTCTGGTAAATTGGGTTGAGGGCTCTTTAAATATCATGTGGAGAAACTTTTGGACATAAAATCAAGATCTAAATATGTCAGACAAGTAATTGAATGGGGAACTTTAAAATATTAAATTTTATGTGGTTCTAGCCAGTTCCTTTATTTGGCGGTTCCTCATTTCCTGCATACTGGGAGAACTGGAAAGCTAGTGCCAGTGTAAGCACCTATCACAGCTTATTACAGAGGGTGAACAGCCAATGTTATTAGTAGATGAGCAGGAAAGGTAGATCAATATAAGGAAATACTGATTTCATTCACTATTCCCTTTGTCACTGCCAGGCCTCAGAATTTTTCAGTTCATTGATGTCAGTAAGGATTTACTTCCCTGCCCAAGGAGCTGGGGCCAGATTATTCCCAGGCTGCAGCAGATACTGATCAGCATGTAAGCTCGCTTGGGCAGCTGGGTAGGAAAATAAAATTTAAGATCACAGCAACTTAAATACTTCTTGGGCTTATAATATCCACATTAGTATTAGGCAACTTGGCAACAGAAGTGACCAAAACACGTGTCTCCTTTCACAGTGATGCTTGGTGAATACATCAGGTGGGTTAGACAGAGGGGTATAATGTTTTCATTAGCTGAATGAACACCTAGCTCAGGCCAAGTCTGGAAACATTTTTATTCACAGAGCAGCTCGAGGGTTAACTCTGTTTAGCATATTCACTTCCCTACTAACATGCCATTATTTCATTTGCAGAGCATCTTCCTCCCTAGCAGCACCTAGAGCCTGTCCTTGCATACCCCCATGGTCTAATGTCCTCAGCAAGCTGTAGTTTACACCACACACACCTCACATCACTGTTATCACCAGTGGTTTCCTCAATGGAAATAATCATTCACATTATAACTGTTGCCAAAACCCTCTGGCACCAGACGTGCTCTTGAAATGAAAGCCTGAAGGCACCCAAGAGCCTGAGCAACTGTAGCAGCAGCCCAGCCAGTCAGTGAGCTGGGTTTGAACTGCAGGAGGGGGAAAAGACAGAAGACTTCCCTGAGGAAAAATTACACTTTGTTTTATACACATATGTAGAATCACATTTTGTGTTCAGTATCAACTAGAGGTAGGTGCCCAAATCTGCCTGGTCCTTGTAGACAAGTTTAGCTGTGTGCTGAGACACCTTTTTAATGTATATTTATACAAAGGAATGCTTGTGTGTTTGTGTGCGTGTGCGCACTAATCTTTGCTCAGTGTTTGTACATCTTGAGGACTTCACTCCCTAAGTGCAGGTTAGAAGTTGTCCGCAGTTAAACTTATAAGCAGAGATAGTTAAATAATATTTTCTTCTCCTCAGTGATATGACATTGCCTACCTAGTCACAGAATAAGATACAGCAACTTAGTCTAAGTAATGCATCCAAATAGTCATTTGACTTACCTTGAATCTGCTCAGTTCTTTCATCTTCTCCTGTCAACCAGGCAGAGGGGCATTCCTAAAATCTCTGGCAGCTGGCATGTGAGGAATTCTTATTGTGGTGGTGCAGCTTATTCGAGTGGGCACATGTGAGCCTAATCACCAGAACAGAGACTGGCTGATGTGCACCTACCTTTCTGCCTCCTGAGCAGCACTGTCTGGGACCAAAACCCACATAAGAAACAGGGATTTTTACTTATGTCCAGGATTCCACATTGAAACCTGAATGTGTGCCTTTCCATGCTAATGGCTTCATGTCCATGTACCTGCAAATGATTCATCATGCAGTCCCACCACTGCCTACCTGGAGCCTGGAAACATTTTGAATGCATTCAAATATTTCCATGCCAAAACGGCATTTTTTACACATTCTAATTTCAAAGATGACTCTAAACATTCTAAGTCCCTTAGCAGGTTTAAACATTTTTAGTGAGTTAAACTAACTGCATGTGTTATTTTTGTACAGTTGGATTGTGTAACTTGATTACCTGACATAGTATCAGCAGCGTGAGGTCCTTTACGGGTCACGGCTGAGATGGATTTTATGCATAAGAATTTCTCCATTTTTGTTCAGGAGAAAATTGTTCTTCTAGGCAATACTCATTAACTCAAATCTGGAAAAAAGAAAGCAAAATACAGCCAGACACCCGCAAAACAGCCTATTAGAGCCTTGCAATGAAGGAGACGGAAAACAAAATCCTATCCCAGTCTCTTTGGACTGGGGCCACCCATCCCACACCAAGACCCTCAGCCACAGCCGAGGTGGCTGGTTCCTTTCCCTCATGTCTCAGGGCAGCGTCACCCACTGCATGGAGGTGGCTGGGCCCCTCTTGTACCCTGACTGGACCCTCAGGCACCATGCAATGGGTGACCACCCCCATCAGGGTGCAGGTGTACAGCCCAGCAGGTACTAGCATGCATCAATGTGCACCATCTCCTCTCTCCTGGAGCCCCCAGGCAGGAGGCGACTGGGAACAGGGCTTGACTCTGGGAGGATTTGGGACAGAGTCACACACTATAAAACTGTGCTTCAGCAAAGATAGCCCAGCTCCTTGTTAGTGCTGAAAAATGCTCCACAGCATCCAAGCCCTGCGGTGCTCCCAGCTCGTGCTGATGGGCGAGCTAATTGTCAGCATGCCACTGCCTCTGCTCCCTGTGTGGTCCCACTGAGTGAGCCATCCTGATGGCTGCCAGTAATGAGGAAAACTGGTGTGTTTTTGTTTTGTTTCCTTTTAAATAAACTTGCAGTCCTTAATCTAGCAGGCTGGAGTCCAGATTTGACAGCCCAGTGAGTAACGAGGTGCAAGGAAAGACAGGATGTAGAATTAGGAGGTCAGGGCTGAAGGTTGCCCCAAATTTAATCTCTGGGCTGGACGTGTTACATCTCTTCCTCACCCCTCCTTCTCTTCATCCTCTCCCATGTCATCATTCTTAGACACAGGGCATAGGTGCTCACCTACTGGGGCAATGGCCTGCCCAGCCTTCCTGGGGAGCTGGAGGGGGAGAGACCACAGCGGGAAATACCCCACTGGTGCTCCTGGCCCTGTCTGGGGCTGTCGCATGACGTGTTCAGGCTGAGGCACCTGGAGCTGCCCACAGCTCTGCCCCAGGTATTTTGCACCCACCTCTTTCTCACCTCACCTTGAGGAGAAGTATTGAGCTATTCATCTTGTTCAGATGCATTCATAAGAATGATGCAGGCATACTATAGAGATCTATATACGATGAGGGATAATTACAAATATTGTTATCTTATTAAATAATTATTATTTTATTAATTATTATTAAACAGCAATGTCTCTTCAAAATAAAGGTGAAGTGTTCTGTATCTTTTCCTATTTTACACACACTTTCTCAGTTCCTCTGTGTCTCCCTTTCTGTTCAAAGTCAGCTGATTAGGTGACTAATTTTCTTCACCTGCAAAGTGCATTTTTGCTGTTCTACTATTCACTAGAAAAATGCAACACCCAACCAAAATATTTGTTTTTATTAGACTAATACATTGCAGATTTGTCTTCTGTAGTGATAAAGGGTTAGTTTACCTTCATTGTTATTTACCATCCTGTTTCTTGACTTCTTATGATTGTAGCACTGTCCAGTAGGGAATTCTTATGGATTGGTGCATCAGAGGTGGACCAAAACCCAAATTGGGGGGTTTCTGGTGTTGGTTTGTTGGTATCTATGCCTTGTAGCCAAAAACCTGAGCTCTAACCTTTCATTTGTTGAGCCCCTGAGCTCTGACCTCTGGGCTCCAGGTGACCCCACACCAGTTATGTACTATCTTAACATAGGAAAGTACAGAAACACTAAACCTAACTAAAAGAGGCCTATTTTATGTAGCAGAATAACCCCTGGCAGAGCACACTGAGCTTGTCAAACAGCCCCTTCTGCATGTCAGAACTGTCCTGGACCTTGTGCCCCTGCACCCACTGACTGCCCTGCACAGCAACGTCCATGTCAGCCTGTGGGCTTGGCTGCAGGTCTCAGGGACAGGGCAGAGCCTCCCCCTTCGCTGCTCCCTTTGGAAAAGTACTGCTGGTAATTGATTGCAGAGGCTTCCATCGGCTTCCAGATAAAGTGGCTCAAGAAGCAAAAGGCAAATCAGGTTCACCCAGTGTCTCTGGTGACATTTTATGTTACATTGCTGAGATCATCTTTGTCTTGGTACCTATCAGTAAGCATTAATTTCCTTTTGATACCTCTTCTTACCTTTCAACCTAGCTCAAACCAGATTTTAGCACGAGAAAATCAGATTATTATGACATACTAAAGGTACTAAATAATTTTTTTCTGCTGCCTGTAGCGTTGTCAACATCTGTGGCCATGGCTGAATTACAGCTATGCATGCACTAAACTTACATTTATTCGTCATCTGAATTTTTTTTGGCAGCAAAGAAGAAAGTGCGCTGATTAAAATTTAAGAGTTATCTCAACAAGTTCAAGACCCTCTAATCAGCTCACCTTGGCTCAGGTGTCCCTCTGCTTGCCAATAGTCTTTAACATGCATCAAGGAAAAGAATATAGTCAGCAAATCCCGCCGTTTCCATGGTGACCACAGGTGGCCCTGTGCTCGCCTCCTCTACAGATGAACAGATAAAAGGTCATCGGTATTGATGGCACCAGGGAGAAATTAGTGCAGGCTGGTTTGTGGACTCCTGTGCTAAGGCAGGACAGCGATGAAGTCAGGACTTCAGCAGTGTGTGAATCCCTTTGGCTCAACGCCCCTGCAGCTGAGCCACGTGTTTAAGTGCATTTTTGGACAGCAACACTTTCGTGGTCCATAGCTCTGGCAGCAGTGAGAACAACTTCGTGGTTTAGATGGGCAGCAATAACGCAGATTAAAAGAAGTGTGGCTTTTTCTCTGGAGGGTTGGAAAACATAGTGAGCAGCTCTATGTTTTTAAGGCAGCACTTTGAAAGAGGGGCAAGTGTAAAAGTTTAATTATAGGCTTTTCCTGACAGCGAAACAACTCATCAGTCTCTGTGTGTGTGTTGTCAAACTGCAAATCCCAAACAAGCAAAGGAAAGGAAAAGACGTTCACATTGACTCACATTCTGTGCTGTTCTGACAAAATATTTTCAGCTGTTTAGTGTAATGTCTGGTGTATATTGATGTGTATTGATTTTTCAATCCAGCACTTTAATTAGGCTCTCGTTGTTCAACCTTGCACCTTTGCTGCATTAGAGAATGACAACAGCATTTCTTTGCTAGGAGCCTTGGACCTGAGACAGCAAAGCAGAGCAAGGCTGGAGGAAAAGCCTGCAGAATATTGACAGGGAATCTAAATATCTCAAAGGCAAAAAGTTGCAAATCTGTGTTTATCATTTTTTAACCAGAGAGGCAAAACATTGCAAATACTAATCTTAAAATCTATGTTAAGGTCAGTTGGAAGTGAAAGAAATTAACACTCCACTGACAACTGAACTGTTGTTTCTTTGAATGGCTGATGACCCTGTCTAGTCTACAATGTTGTTAAAAATTTATTAACTAGCTCAAATGCCTATTGACTAGAAATGAAATACACATTGGAGGC